AGAACAACCAGTGTTCTTAACCACTGAGCCATCTCTCCAGCCCCTGAAGTTTATTTTTTATGTTAGGTCATAGGATAATTTTTAGAATATCTTTATTGGGCCAGGGGTGGTGGCACATACCTTTAATCCCAGCACTTGGGAGGCAGAGGCAACAAGTGACTCTCTGTGAGTTCCAGGCTAGCTGGGGATACAGGGAGACCCTGTTTCAAAAAAAAATATTTTTATTTATTCTCTGACAAATTCATACATATGTACAATGTATTTTGATTATATCCAACCCAAATCCCTCCTCCCACCGTCCCCAGACCTCCTCAATACTTACCCTTCCCGTTTTCATGTCTTACTGTTCTAATAGCCCACTTAATCTAATAAGTGCTACCTTATGAGCATGGTTATGGGCCATCCACTGGAGCATGGCCAAGCTACCAGTGGCCAGATACCTAAAGAAAAATGGTTCCCACTGCCCCTGGCACCATCAATTGCCAATGGCTCCTCAGGCAGGGGAGAAGGCTCATGCATCCCTCACCCATACATGCTGGAATGTTGACTGGCTTGATCTTGTGCGGGCAACCAGAGCTGCTGTTCATGAGTGCAGAAGCCAAGTCTTGTCCAGAAGACAGCTTTCCACAGCATTCCTCCCAACCTCTGTCTCTTACTTTCTTTCCATTTTCTTTTCCCCAGTGTTCCCTGAGCCTTTGGGGAGCTGATATAGATGTCTCATTTAGGGCTGAGCACTCAACAGTCCCTTATTCTCAGAACTGACCAGTTATGCATCTCTGCACTGTTCATTGCATTGTTCATTCATCCCTGCTGTTCATTGCAGAGACAAGAAGCTTCCCTGACCAAGGCTGAGAGCAGCATTCATCTATGGGTGTGAATGGAAGTATTTAGAAAGTAGTTTGACAACACATCAATTCAGCAAAACAATAGCAGTAGGTACTCCAACACACCCTATGATCTTCCCAGCCCTGTGCTTTGGATTGGGTTCAGTAGCAGGCAGGAATTCCTTTCTTTTCTGTACAGCAGGCCTCAAAATCCAACCAGAGGGGCTGGAGAGATGGCTCAGCTGTTAAGAGCACTGTCTGCTCTTGCAGAGGACCAGGGTTCAGTTCCCAGGACCCACATGGCAGCTAACAACTCTAGTTCAACGGGATCTGATATTTTCTTCTGGCCTCCATGGGCACTGCACACATGTGATGCACTTACATACATGCAGGCAGGACACTTAT